GAATTTATCTTAATTATGGTTGAAATTCTGCTATAAATATAAATTAAGTTTAAAATTTATAAATCTTTTCTTTTGGTTCAAATTAGTAACTTAATTATGTTAAAAGTCCGATACTAATCAAATTTTAAAATATATAATTAATTGCTTAAAAGAAATAAAATTTAATAAAGTATTTATTTTTTTGTTATTTATTATGTAAATTCTTAAAGCTATCGAGAAATATGCCTGCAATAAAAAGTTTAAAAGATAAATATAAATAACACAGAGGGAGAGATGATGCGGTAATTCTAAAAAAAGTTTATATACACAAAAAAGAAACATTTGTATTATTTGAATTAATTGAGACACAATCATTGTTATTGATATTATAAAGAAAGGATATAACTTACGTTTTCATCAGAAGGTCAAGTTGTATTATTTATTGTTTTTCTACAAAATTCAATCCATTAAACATAACTACATTTCATAATTGGTTAGAGGAGGCCGGAAAAGATCGAAATGAATAACGTCAAATTTAACAACACAAATGAATAACATAAAGTATTAACTAAGTATAAGTTTATTTTATACTGAGAGATTACAAATTAGTACTAGATTTATCAATAAAATTTAAAAATAAGAAGATGATGTATGTATATTTAGTCAAATATATATTGTATCTGGATTAATAGCCTAAATATAGAATAAATATGAGAATATGGCATTTTGGGTCACCATTGTTTGAGTTCATTTTGGCTTACATGCTCATAATGTTTTGAAATTATAATAACAATTAGTTGACTGACTTTCTAAGAACAAGAACGTTAATTATATTTTTTCACGTTATAAAAATCATTATTCTTCATTAAAGTTAATTGGCACGTAGAAATTTCAAAAACATTACTCACAATTTAATTGTAACAAACTTACTTACATTAATTTACTTTGAAAAATAGTATATTTATGTTATTTATTTTTAAATGATTATAAATTACAAGAAGTTCTTTCACTTCTAAAGAAGATATGATTACATGTAAAAAAAACATGTTTTTTCCTATGGAACCAAATTATACATCTATACATTTATAGGAAGGTATAATATAATTATTTTATATTCTTTTTATGTGAGAAGGAACTCATAAAAATTATTTTAAAATTCATGTTTTTTTCCTATGGAACCAAATTATACATCTATACATTTATAGGAAGGTATAATATAATTATTTTTTATTCTTTTTATGTGAGAAAAAACTCTTAAAAATTATTTTAAAATTTCAACTAAAATTATTAAATATACATAAAAATACATTTTTTATATGTATAATGTCTCTTTTATTCAATTAAATATTTAGTAAATTATTTGTGCTTTTCATGACTGCGCGAAGCGCGGATGAATTCACTAGTGTATAATATGGGTGATTTCGACAATTAAGCAACTTTGAAGTTACCTATAATAGATACTACTCTCTCCGTTCATTTTTACTTATCCAATATTGCTTTAGGAGCAATAAATTAAATGGTAATTTTACTATATTAAAACATCGAACTAAAGATTGGATTAACATTATCTCCAACAACTAGGACTCGTATTTATGTTCAAACGGCTCTTTTTAGGTGTTGTCTTGTAGTAAGCTTTATGGTAAACAAAAAAAAAACAGGTACATTATATATATATAGTTAGTTAGTTAGTCCACAAATTTCAATATTTCAACTTTCAAGCATTGTTTAAGACATATTTTTTAATATAATATCACACTAGTTGGATGATCTTTTTATTCCCTCAACAATTGATTACACTTGGTTGGACTAGTAATAGTCCATAATTATAAAGAGCAAATGGAACATTGTTTAAGACATGTGGTAACTAAAGCTTGTGAAAAGGATTAAACATTAACAAGTAGCAAGGAAGAAGGAAGGGGACCATTTGATCCATAATTCATTAAAGCAAATTAAAGTGCTTTTAATAAAATATGACCTAACTTTGTACTATCTATATACAAATTTTGTTTGACATTATGTCTCCACACTAATACTGAATACTTTTATATATTGTAGAATCTCTGACGATATTACGATAGAATATTAACACTTGATTAATTATAAGTTAGCGTAATACAGACGAACTTCTGCTTATAATAAAGAGGCTGCAAATAATGGTTGAGAGATCATCAGGATCGAGTTTTTAGGTTTCCCAAAATGGTTGATACCAACAATATATTAGGGTCATTTGACTCGAGTGAAGAAGGAGGGTTTAAGGAGCACGAAAAGTTGTTGCCAATAGCTAACGTGGGACGAATAATGAAGCATATTCTTCCTCAAAACGCGAAGATTTCAAAAGAGGGGAAAGAAACAATGCAAGAATGTGTGTCTGAGTTCATAAGCTTTGTTACTGGAGAAGCATCGGAGAAATGTCACAAGGAGAAGAGGAAGACGTTGAACGGAGATGATGTTTGTTGGGCTTTGGGAAATTTAGGGTTTGATGATTATGTTGAGCCATTGAAGAGGTATTTGCATAGATATAGAGAGTTAGAAGGTGAAAAAGCTAACCAAAATAAGGTTGATATTGGCAACAAGAATGAAGAAAGGGAGAAAAATGAGTTTCTCCTTGGAAGATTGTATGGTCCTTAAGAAAGTCCGGAGCATAAATGACAACTTTTTTTTAATCAAGTAGGGGTGACCGTTCAGACAGTTCAATTCATAATCCAAAAATCCAAAAAGTTCGAATTTCGATTTGGTTTTTAGGTTGACCCAAACTATGTCCACCTCTATACGTAAGCTTTGATTTTCAAATTCTTTCTACTCTTGTTTTCATTTTATGAAGAAAAAAATAAATCGAGCTTTCGTACTAGTGATCATATTGTATCTTCTAAATAATTTGTAAGGTAATTAATTTGTGGGATATGGTTTTGAAAAATTAATTAACTTTGTGATTCAACTATTTATGTTCTCATTTGGCTAGATTGGCATGGTTCTTGGTTCAGTGTTGAACAATAATAATTAAGTTACTCCAATACTAATTAGAGACTCTAATGGAGGTTAGCACAAATTCCTTCCCTAATTACCATTTCTTTTTTCATTTGCACGTGAAATTAATGATATTAAGGAATATCAAAATTTGTAGGGTATTTCTTGTTCTTACCAAATTGGAAGATTAGTTTTCTAAAATTGGTTGTTTTAACTATGGTTATGATATAATCTTGATTTTTAAAATTTTAAAACACATGTCTCTTATCTAGACGTGTACTTGACGAAATAGAGGGAAGGATGTAATGGAGAGGAGTCAAATCTGTCATTTATTGGCAACTAAACAATATTTTGATTGATGCAAGTAAATCTAATTAATGTTATAATTTTAATACATTCGTATTAATACTTGGAAATGGTACTGAAATGCCTTATAGTTTATAATACTGTATTTTTTTTTCCAACTCCCACCATATGAGCTCCCTTAGTGGCGGAGGGTTTGGCATAGACCCCTACCACATATAGTCTATACTGTGTGTGCTGGATAATATAGTTAAAATTGTAATTTAATTTCTTTTCTTAACAAAAAAAATTGTTTCGTGATGAACTCTAAAAGTTGCTTGATTCTCTTTTAAAATAAGTCTATTTTATTATAAATAAATCATTGATTAGTAGTGGTCGGCGTTCAACTTTTTTTATTTTTGGTTTTGAAAAAGTGTTCATCGAATATCAAACAGAAATAATTCAATTTGGTTTGGTTTGGTTTGTTCAACTTCGATTTGGTTTGATATTTTTAAAATGGGTTTTTCGATGCAAATGAAAAATAAATTGAGGACAAAATCTAAGTATAAGACACTTAAAATCATGTTAATTGATAATGTATCTCACCGTGGAACAGTACTTATTGTGCTGAAAAGACTATTTTTGTCTTTGTCAAGAATATTGTGCCTCCAACTATTGTTCAAAGAAAACAAGGATGAAGATAGGTTTCTTTACATGACGAATATTGACAAAAATTACATTTGGGATTCCTCTCGGGCAAATTAATATTGAATCTAACTGTCTGAATTGTAAATTTGTTGCTACTTTGATTTATTCGTAAATAGTTTAATTGCTAGTTGTCATTTTTTAAATAAAAGTTTGATTTTCCAGTGCACTGAAATTTTGATACGCTTACACTAAACACCAAATTGAAAAATCGAACTTTTGAAAAAAAAAAATATCAAAACAGAACTAAAAAATTGAAAAATTAAATTAATTTGATTTAATCCGATTTTTTAATTTTCCAACGGTGCAAATTTCAACTGACAGTCCTATCGCTTTCTTTGATTGATGCACATGAATTTATTTCTCCTTGCCTTAGTAGCAATTTATATCATATATTACTTTAAAACGCAACAATATGCCCCACTCAAAAATAGTAATCATATTTCCTTAAAAACAGTTACAAAATGGTATTAAGGTGTGACAATACAACCTTAAAAAACAATCATTATGGACCAAAACAATTGACCTCAAAAAACCCTCATGCTTAGGGGTGGGCGTCTGATATTTGGTTCGAGATTTCTAAATTTTGAATTCAGTAATTCGGTAATTGGTAGTTAAAAGTAGATATTAAATATCAAATTTTTAAATTTTGGTTTGATAATTCGATAATCGGTGAATCAAACTTCGATTCAATATGGTATTTGGTAATACCGTATTGAATTTGTAGCCGATTGTATTACAAAGTTAATATTATTGCTCCAATTATTTTTATTTTTCTATGTAGATTCACAATATAATAGAAGATAAAAAACTAAGAAGACATGAAGAAAAATAAATTGATACAACTAAAAGACATGTATTTAGGTTGTTTAAGTTTAGCATTTAACTTTCTCTTTGAACTTATACCATTTTTCGGTGCGGAACTGGTAGTTGGGGAAGTCATAGAAGTAGTAGTGTGGTAGGTGAGTAACTGATTTTAAAGATTCTATTATAATATCTTTTTGCTAAGTGTCTTAATCCTGATATCTCTTTAATATTATTTTTTGGTAGTGGTAAATTCATGGTAATATGTAGTAATATTTATTGTAATATTCTTCCGATAGTTGTTTTAATCTGAATATTTCTTTAATATTATTTATGATATATTCTAGATATAACATATCTTGGGTTCTTTGATACATATATAAATTTTCCTCCATTAATTGTTCTAATAGTTTTATATCTTCCATAGCTTCTATCCAATATTGTAAATATTCGTAATTCATTTTAATCTGAATTTATTTCTAAATCATACCATTTTATTCTTTCATTATCTAAATATAGATCTTGTAAATCTATTTCATACCATTCTTGATTTAATATATCTTCTAATTCGTAGTCATCAAATATTTTTTCCCATATGATTCTTCTTAATTCAATTATCTCTATACCGTTAAGTATATATAGGATTAA